CTCTTACTAGAAAACCTGAGTTAGGCAGGAAGCAGGCAGTGTTCTGGTGCCAAGGAACAAAGACCATTCCACTGCAAAGGCTACTTTGGCCTCAGCCAAGGAGAAGGGCCAACAGGGGAAAGGACAAAGGTTGAGGAGGACCTGGCACCAGCTCATTAAGGAGCTACCCTCCACCCCAATCTTCCTGTTTTCCTTATGTTTTTCATTAAAAAAAACAACTTTTTTTTTGAGATAGAGTCTCATGTATCCCAAGCTGGCCTTAAACTTACCATGTAGCCAAGAATGACCATGAACTTCTGATCCTACTGCCTCCACTGTCCCCAGTGCTGGGGTTATATGTGTGTACCACTGAACTGGGTACCTGTGGTGCTGAGGACTGCACTCAGGGCTTCCCACAGGCTAGCAAGCACTCTGCTCACTGAGCTACATCTCAAGCCCCTTTACCTTGGTTTTCCATCTGCTCAGCTGCTCCATTTGGCTTCAGAAGCAGAGCTACTCTGATTTCCCTCTACATGGTTTTTCACTATTTAACCACTCAGTGGTTAGCTTATCTATCCATACAATGAAGACCCCCTGAAAGTTGCTCTGCATCCCAAACCTGCCACCCTTCTCATCACTGCCCCTCACCTCAAACTCTCTAGAATGATGACAGACACAATCTCCCTTGGGGGAGGCACAAATTCTATCCCAGCTTGGACACTGATGGCAAGGAGATTGTGGGTAAGTCACACACCCTGCTGGACTGTTGATCCCCATAATTGTGAATGCATATGAGTCCAGGCTCTCCCTGTGTGTTACTATGTGATCCTTGGAATAGCACTGCCCCAACCTATTTTTCATGGTATTTGCTGCCTGCGTCTGAATTGCTTTTCACAGAGCACAGATTTTCCCCAGCTACTTTGTCATGGTAATGACCACCCAGGAGTCAGCACTTCTCAGGAAGAGGATGGATACAGAACCCCAAGTTCTCCAGAAAGGTGTGTGTGTGTGTGCGCGCGCGCGCGCGCGTGCGTAAACTAGAAATTATACCAGACTTTGGGCTTGAGTGGAGGGGTCAGAGATCAAGTTTATTCTATTCTTGGGCAAACGGCTGAATGGTACTTAGGGAGGGTGCCTCATCTGGCAGTGAGATACTACCCTGGCTCTCTCATCTCAGCTTCCAGATGCTTCGAAATATATTCTCACTGAATGTCATTGTCACCAGTACAGCTAGCAACACACAGTGAGATGCAGTCTAAGACCTGAATTCCCAGACTCAGAAAGAAAACCAGGGAAAGAGATGATGCTCCACCCCAGCCTTGTCTCCTGGCAACCCAGGCCCCTCCTCCCTTGCAGCCGGTGCCATGAGGTAGCACTGTGGTACTACTTGGGGTACCTGGTCAGAAATGGGGTTGCTAGAAGCTATTTGAGGGTCTTTTTAAAAGCTCTGCCTCAGGTAGAATGCATGACCCCATGACAGTTTGTTGAAAGGCAAGTTCTGGTCCAGTGGGTTTCACAGGAACTTGAGATCCTAGAAGCAATGATCTTTGGTGGAAAACCATAGGGACAGCTCCCTTCCACTCTAGCCTCCCCTGGGCCTTGCAGAAGTGCACCCTGAATCCAAACAACCAAGGCAAGAGGAGTTAGAGAATGAGGGGATGAAAGGGACTTGTACCTAATTTTACAGATGGTAAAACTGAGGCCTGACCGTGTGGGAAGGATCTTGATTAAAATCACACAGCAACCCAGCTCTAGGTAGATTCTTGGAGCTCACTGGCCAGCTAGCCACACTGAATCGGTGAGCTCCAGGGTCAGTGAGAGACCCTGCCTCAAAAAATAAGATGGAGAACAGCTGAAGAAGACTTGGCTTCAACATCTGGCCCCCACATGGTCTCCTGAGTGGACGTGTGTGCATGCACACACACATATTACTACAGCACAAAATCATACAATAATGCAGTTACAAAGTCAAGAATCAGGTTGCCTGCCTTGGGAAACCAAAACCAAAACCAAAGTCCAGAAGAGACTGACATGTTAGCTCTGGACAAACTCTGGGTTCCACAGTGTTTTCATTTTGTTACCTTTGTTTTTTCAGACACAGTCCCACTGGGTAGCTCAGGCTGCCTTGGAACTCACTGTGTAGCCCAGGCTGGCTTCAAGGAACACATCCCGATTTTATAAGAAAAACTAGTTTTAATAAAAGCAAATTTGCACAGTTCTTAGAACATAAGATTGGAGTGTGTTTGGTAAACTGTAACCACAAACAGTTCAAATCTTCCAGAAGACACTTCAAAGAGAATCTCTTCTGGGATCACCCGCTGCAAGGAAGGGAAGGTGCCACCATCCAACCTAATCTGCTTCCTGCTCCCTTCCTCAGCAGTGGGACAATCTCTTCCAGAGCACCCGCTCCTGGGACCGGTCCCCTAAAATCCGGAAGAAATCTTCATAATATTTTCCTACTAAAGGACCCGGGGCCAATTCTGCTTTTGTTGCTAGTTTCCTAAGCTTAATTGCAAAGCAAAGTTAATCTGAAAGAAAATAAATGTTACAGCTCTTGGCGAATTCTAACGAGCCTTGGGCAATTAGGGAAGAACGCATCTAATTGCCGAAGCCCGGGGCGCTTGCACACGACGCTGGGGCGCTAGGCCTGCCGAGCGGCGACCTGTCTTTCTGTTCCTAGTAGGAGGGGGAAGACCAGATGAAAAGGGACGCACCTCTAGTCTCTGAGCACCCCCAAACCAGGGATGATTCTTGTAGTTCCGAGCATCCCAAGTCGCGGTGGTGAACTGTTCCCACGGCCCTAGAGTCCCCCGGCAGGAGGGGCCACCCAGGACCCCGCTGCCCGAGCAGCTTGCCGCGCACGCTCTCCCTCGGTGCCGGGTCGCCCCGGCTCTGTGGCGCGCGAGCTCGGGGTACCACGGCCCGCGGGAGATGCAGAAGGGCTGTCGCCGTCCTCAGCACCGCGATCCCAGCCTTCGAGGGTCTCCCGGTCCTGAGGACCACGGTCGGGCCTCACGCACTCAGGTCCCTCAGCGCAGCGTCCTTCTCTAGAGCAAGTGACTCTCGCCTTTGGCAGAATCTCACCAGCCACCTAAGCCAACTCGTTTTGGGTGCGAGCCCAAGCCCTTTCCGACCCGGTTTTTCTTTCTCTGGCTTTATTGCGATGCACTAAATTTTTGCTAAATTTTTGGGACGAGGTAGTGCCTTTTTCTTTTGAAAAGCCTTCCCAACGGCTTAGCATGTCCCGCAGCTCCAAAACTTTAGTTTGTTGGCTCTTTTAATTTCAGGGGGACCATCTGAGGTAGCAGCCACAAAATCCTACTCTGGAAATAAGGATACCAGAGAAGGGACTGGTTTGATGGTTAATGGCGTTGCCAAAGCACTGGACTTGGTAATTAAACAAAGGCTCAGTTCCCGCACTAGATAGTGCAAAAATTGCTCTTGTCCAGCCCCAACCCCAGCGTGAAGGCTGGAGAACTCTATGGGTTGAGGACTTCCAATTCCATGTGGACAACTAAACAAGGCTTCCTGACCTTCATGTCTATCTGTGCTTGGGAACCTTTGAACATCTTACCTGTAAGTTCGCTGAGAGAACGGGATCCCAAAGCCTAGGTTTTTCCACGGAATCTGGATTCCACCTTGCGCGCGCGTGTGTGTGTGTGTGTGTGTGTGTGTGTGTGTGTGTATGTTCATGTTCAAGGTCACATCTGTCAGAACCAGTTACCACCTCCCTCCAGGAGGTCATTTACCATTTCAAAGACAAAAAGGATGGTGGCCTCTGGTAGCGTTTGACTTGTGGCTGGACCAAAGACCCTGGGCTGCTAGTGTAATATATATACACTCTCAAATCTAAAGACACGTCTGAATGAAGATGAAAACATTTCAACAGTTTTTATGTTGTGTATGTTGAAATGATATTTTAGATATATTGGGTTAAATGCAATATACTATTACAACTAATCTAACTTGTTTTTATTTTATTGAGGCGACTAGAAAATGTAAAATTAAAATGTGGCTTGTACTGTATCTCTACTGGATAGCAGGATTTAGATAAAAATCCACCTGGACAGAAGCAAGCCCACAGTTTTGTGAACAGGATAGTATAGTGTCTCTCTCAGACATACACAAATTACCAACAACATATTTTCACAGCCCCTCTCTTCTTTACTGAGTTAGCTATTCAGAAAGAGACAGAGTTTTTCTTGCCAGGATTCACTTGCTCAAAGATTTTTATTAAATCAATTCACCTGAACATCTCTGTTTGTTTGAAAGAAGCAAATGAATCCTTTTGTTAATGTTAGAAGTTTTTGCTCCAGAACCAAAACTTACAAGATTTCTCAAGTTAAAAGATGGAGAGATGTTGGCTTTTCTCTGATGTTGAATTCTCTTTGATTTCGGTGAAGCTGTTGCCTCACACAAGATAAAACATGAAGTTAAAAAAAAACATTTAAAAAAAGGCTCACTTTGCTAACCATCCTATTTATTACTTTCTTTCTGTTCGAGGAGGGTGCTGAGGCACGGCAGAGGGCACCAGAAACAGAAGCGCCAATCCCAGTCACTGAGAACTCTCACCTAGGTGCTCCCCTGAGCCCTCCCACAGCCTTGAGTCCAGGCTACTGTCACCAATGGGTGTATTCCTCAGAAAATTAATTTTGGACTGGGTAGTCACAGCTGCGGAATGACCAACACACCCTGCTCAAAAGGTTCAATAATTATGATATAATCTCTGCTTGGAGCTAATCCTGAGACTTTAGGTTAAATACTTGCCATGATCTGTTTCCATTCCTTGGATGGCCTTCAGGCATCGGGTGGCTACTGGGAAGCCCCGGGTGGCCCACCAAATACTGCCAAATATGGAAGGGTGGCACCTAAGATGATCAGCTCTTAAAAATGGAGAGGGTAGAATCACACAGCCCTGTTATGTAGCAGATAGAAAATTCAGATGATGGGACTGGGTCACACTGGGGAATAGGCTGTTACTAACCACTGAACCCGGGGTTTGTGGTTCTCTGAGGCAGGGAAAACCAGCTCAGATCAATCAGCTTTATTTTATTTTATTTTTTTTTATTTTAAAGCAACTTCTCTTGAAAACCTGCTCTCACTTTAAGAAAGGCACCATTGTGGGAGCCTTTTACTATAGTAAGTACTCAAAAATTCAAGAAGCTGATAAAAAGGCCTGAGTTTTGTGCAGCATAGCAAACGGTGAAGCCCAAAGTTCGGATTCTAGATTCTGGTGTGGACAACTATGCTGCCCTCCTCCACCCTGTACTCTCCCTAGTAGAGGGCCAGAAAGGTACGTCCTTCGAGGCTTCGAATTGTTGAGGGTCCCTTGTGCCAGTCCAAACGCTGCGGTAGCCTCCCACCTCCTCCCATGTACAAAGCAAGTCCGGTGTGTGAACAGTGCGCCAGGAGACAGCCTCTACGGCCCTCTCCGGACTTCCACGGGAGTCTCAATTCGATCCACTTTCCAGTCCTGTTCTCACGTCATGGGGAAACTGAGTTCGTGCCAGCCGCTGTGGTCTCGGTGAGTTTTCGTGCCCACTCTCGGCTCACATGGCAGACACAAACCGATCCACTCCTCCGGGATAGGCAGTGGCATGGCGGGCGTGGTAGGTGCTGCCGCCGCTACCCGGGAGCTGCCCGCCGGGATTGTAGCAGGGCGCCAGCGCGCCTCCGAACTGACCGGGCGATGTGCGCCCGTAGAAGTCCACCGCGGTGTCCACGCCG